TGTTGACGACCGTGATGCCTACGACCCGTTGACGACCGTGATGCCTACTACCTGTTGACGACCGTGATGCCTACTATCTGTTGACGACCGTGATGCCTACTACCCGTTGACGACCGTGATGCCTACTACCTGTTGACGACCGTGATGCCTACTACCTGTTGACGACCGTGATGCCTACTACCCGTTGACGACCGTGATGCCTACTACCTGTTGACGACCGTGATGCCTACTACCTGTTGACGACCGTGATGCCTACTACCCGTTGACGACCGTGATGCCTACTACCCGTTGACGACCGTGATGCCTACTACCTGTTGACGACCGTGATGCCTACTACCCGTGACGACGTGATGCCTACTACCTGTTGACGACCGTGATGCCTACTACCTGTTGACGACCGTGATGCCTACTACCCTTTGACGACCGTGATGCCTACTACCCGTTGACGACCGTGATGCCTACTACCCGTTGACGACCGTGATGCCTACTACCTGTTGACGACCGTGATGCCTACTACCCGTTGACGACCGTGATGCCTACTACCCGTTGACGACCGTGATGCATACTACTGTTGACGACCGTGATGCTACTACCGTTGACGACCGTGATGCCTACTACCTGTTGACGACCGTGATGCCTACTACCTGTGACGACCGTGATGCCTACTACCCGTTGACGACCGTGTGATGCCTACTACCTGTTGACGACCGTGATGCCTACTACCTGTTGACGACCGTGATGCCTACTACCCGTTGACGACCGTGATGCCTACTACCTGTTGACGACCGTGATGCCTACTACCCGTTGACGACCGTGATGCCTACTACCTGTTGACGACCGTGATGCCTACTACCGGTGACGACCGTGATGCCTACTACCTGTTGACGACCGTGATGCCTACTACCCGTTGACGACCGTGATGCCTACTACCTGTTGACGACCGTGATGCCTACTACCCGTTGACGACCGTGATGCCTACTACCCGTTGACGACCGTGATGCCTACTACCCGTTGACGACCATGATGCCCACTACCTGTTGACGACCATGATGGCCACTACCTGTTGACGACCATGATGGCCACTACCTGTTGACGATCGTGATGCCTACTACCCGTTGACGACCATGATGCCCACTACCTGTTGACGACCATGATGCCCACTACCTGTTGACGACCATGATGGCCACTACCTGTTGACGACCATGATGGCCACTACCTGTTGACGACCGTGATGCCTACTACCCGTTGACGACCATGATGCCCACTACCTGTTGACGACCATGATGCCCACTACCTGTTGACGACCATGATGGCCACTACCTGTTGACGACCGTGATGCCAACTACCTGTTGACGACTGTGATGCCCACTTCCTGTTGATGACGATGATGCTCACTACCTGTTGACGACCGAGATACCCACTACCTGTTGACGACCGAGATACCCACTACCTGTTGACGACCGAGATACCCACTTCCTGTTGACGACCGAGATACCCACTACCTGTTGACGACCGAGATACCCACTACCTGTTGACGACCGAGATACCCACTACCTGTTGACGACCGAGATACCCACTACCTGTTGACGACCGAGATACCACTACCTGTTGACGACCGAGATACCCACTACCTGTTGACGACCGAGATACCCACTACCTGTTGACGACCGAGATACCCACTACCTGTTGACGACCGAGATACCCACTACCTGTTGACGAACGTAGTACCCACTACCTGTTGACGAACGAGATACCCACTACCTGTTCATGTTCATCACTCATTTGGTTCAAGATAAATAAAACAATAATGAAAAACGACAGGAAAAAAATAAATGTAATTAAATTGAGAAAACTTTCACAAAAATATGAAGCAACAAATGCTACTAAATTCTTTAATGATTACTAAAATATTTTAAGTCAGAAACAATCAGTAGACGCATTTTTCTCAGTCAGGAATGTTTCCTTGATCTTCGTAACTCTACCATAGCCGCTGTAACACACTCTCACTCACCTCTCACTTCACTTTCATTCACTCTCACTTCACTTCTCATTTCACTTCTCACTTCACATTCTTCATTCATTTCATTCACTCTCACTTTCGACAGTCTAATTTTTTTTTCAGGGGAGTGTGTGTGTGTTGGATATGTGTGTGTGTTTGTGTGTGTGGTTGTGTGTGTTTTGGGTTGTGTGTTTTGTTGAGTGTGTAATTTGTGTGTAATTGTGTGTGGAGTTATGTGTGGGTTTATTATGTACTGAAAGGTAGGTGGCTTGTGCGTTTAAGGTAAGTCTCAGTGGTCCTTGGCTGCCCACACCTTCTTGTGACCTGACCAACCTCCTGGGACTTACCGCACTTACAGTGTGTGTGTGTGTGTGTGTGTGTGTGTGTGTGTGTGTGTATGTGTGTGTGTGTGTACTCACCTAATTGTACTCACCTAATTGTGGTTGCAGGGGTCGAGACTCAGCTCCTGGCCCCGCCTCTTCACTGATCGCTACTGGATCCTCTCTCTCTCTGCTTCCTGAGCTTTGTCATACCTCTTCTTAAAACTATGTATGGTTCCTGCCTCCACTACTTCACTTGCTAGGCTATTCCACTTGCTGACAACTCTATGACTGAAGAAATACTTCCTAACGTCCCTGTGACTCGTCTGAGTCTTCAGCTTCCAGTTGTGACCCCTTGTCCCTGTGTCCCCTCTCTGGAACATCCTATCTCTGTCCACCTTGTCTATTTCCCCGCAGTATCTTGTATGTCGTTATCATGTCTCCCCTGACCCTTCTGTCCTCCAGTGTCGTCAGTCCGATTTCCCTTAACCTTTCCTCGTACGACATTCCCTTGAGCTCTGGACTAGCCTTGTTGCAAACCTTTGTACTTTCTCTAACTTCTTGACGTGCTTGACCAGGTGTGGGTTCCAGACTGGTGCTGCATACTCCAGTATGGGCCTAACTACACAGTGTAACAGTGTCTTGAACGATTCCTTATTAAGGTATCGGAACGCTATTCTCAGGTTTGCCAGGCGCCCGTATGCTGCAGCGGTTATTTGGTTGATGTGTGCCTCCGGTGATGTGCTCGGTGTTATGGGTCACCCCATGGTCTTTCTCCCTGAGTGAGGTCTGTAGTCTTTGTCCACCTAGCCTATACTCTGTCTGCGGTCTTCTTTGCCCCTCCCCAATCTTCATGACTTTGCATTTGGCTGGATTGAATTCGAGAAAGCCAGTTACTGGACCACATGTCCAGCCTCTCCAGGTCTCTTTGCAGTCCTGCCTCATCCTCGTCCGATTTAATTCTTCTCATCAACTTCACGTCATCTGCGAACAGGGACACTTCAGAGTCTATTCCTTCCATCATGTCGTTCACATATATCAAAAATAGCACTGGTCCTAGAACTGACCCCTGTGGGACCCCGCTCGTAACAGGCGCCCACTGTGATACCTCTTCACGTACCATGACTCGTTGCTGCCTCCCTGTCAGGTATTCCCTTTATCCATTGCAGTGCCCTTCCTTTTACGTGTGCCTGATCCTCCAGCTTCTGCACTAATCTCTTGTGGGGAACTGTGTCAAAGGCCTTCCTGCAGTCTAGGAAAACGCAATCTACCCAACCCTCTCTCTCATGTCTTCTGTTCCCCTCAAGGAAGGTTCCTTGATGTTGGTGAGGGGCTCTTGATTTAGGGAAGTTGGATCTGTGCTCCAGTTCCCGAATTAAGCCTGGAATGCCTTTCCTCATTATCCCCCCCCCAGGCGCTGTATAATCCTCCGGGGTTTAGCGCTTCCCCCTTGATTATTAATTATATAAATAATCATGTTCTTCTGTTACCTTGTCATAAAAAAATAAGGAGGTTTGGATCTAGATTTTACTTCCTTGAACCCCCATGCTGGTTTTTCATTTATAATCTTGTTCCTTTCCAGGTGTTCGACACCACTCTCTCCTGATAATCTTCTCCATGACTTTGCACACAATACATGTCAGGTCGCAGGTCTATAGTTTAGTGCCTCTTGTTCTGTTTCCTTTCTTAATATGGCGGACAACTAGCTGTCTTCATTTATCAGGTAGTTGCCCCGTTTCAAGGGATGGTGTTGAAGTTTGTGGTTAGAGGCACTCACAGCATCTCGATCCTTTCTCTAAGGACCCCCATGGGGAGATGATGTCCGGTCCATCGCCTTTGAGGGTCAGGCTAACTTAAGAGCTTCTTCACTCCTCCTCAGTTGTTCGTATGGTCACCATCACTTGATGGTATATTCCCTCTTGATGTTCTCTGTGAATGTCTTCCCCACAGCCTCCTTCCTGTCTCTACTGTAAAAATTCCTTAAATCTCCTGTTTCAGCTCCTCACATAACTCCTGATCATTTCTTGTGAGTTTCACATTTGTCCTTATTGATCACATGGTCTTATGACTGTTGTCGTTCCTCCTGATGTGGCTATACAACAGATTCGGGTCAGTATGATTCTCGATGTATGTGGGTGTGTGTGTGTGTGTATGTGTGTGTGTGTGTGTGTGAGTGTGTGTGTGTGTGTGTGTGTGTGTGTGTGTGTGTGAGTGTTGGTGTGTGTGATGTTTTGTAAAATAAATAATTGTTTCTATATTCAGTTTTAAACTATTGTTACTCAAACGAATTTCTAATAAACATCTTTACAGGATGTGTGTTGACGACCGTGAAGCTACTACCGTGACGGACCTTCGAAGCCTAATACCCTGCGGGGTTGACGACCGTTGAGCCTTCTACCGTTGACGACCCGATGATGCCTTACTACCCGTTGACGACGTGTTGCTTACTACCCTGTTGACCGACCGTGAAGCCCACTACCGTTGACCGACCGTGATGCTACTACCTGTTGACGACGTGAAGGCCTACTACCGTTGACGACCGTGATGCACTACTCCTGTTGACGACCGTGAAGCCCACTACCCGTTGACGACCGCTGATGCTATACATGTGGACGACCGTTTGAAGCCTATACCTGTTGACGACCGTGATGCCTACTACCGTTGACGACCTGTGATGCTACTACCTGTTGAGACCGTTGAAGCCTACTACCTGTTGACGTCCGTGAGCCACTACTGTTGACGTACGTGAAGCCTACTTACCGTTGACGACGTATTGCCTCTAAACTACCTGTGACGACCGTGAAGCCTCCTACCTGTGACGACCGTGATGCCTACTACCTGTTTGACGACCGTGAGCCCATTACACGTTGGACGGACCGTAGAAAGCCTACTACCCGTTGACGACGTGAAGCCTATAGTGTTGACGACCGTGATGCCTACTACCTGTTGACGGACCGTGAAAGCCCACTTACCCGTTGACGACCGATGAAGCCTATACCCGTTGATCGACCGTGTAGCCTACTACCTGTTGACGACCCGTGAAGCCCACTACCCCACCGTTGACGACCGTGAATGATGAAGCATAATACCCGTTTACGGACCGTGAAGCCTACTACCCGTGTCGTCCGATGATTGCCTACTACCTGTTGACGACCGATGAAGCCCATACCCGTTGACGCCCGTGAAGCCTTCTACCTTTGACGACCGTGAAGCCTACTTACAGTTGACGACCGTGAAGCCTACTACCTGTTGAACGACCGTGAAGCCTACTACCTGTTGACGCCCCCCCCCCCCCCCAACCGTGAAGCCTACTACCGTTGACGACCGTGAAGCCTTACTACTGTTGACGACCGTGGAAGCCTATACCTGTTGACGACCGTTGAAAGCTCATTACGTTGCGACCGTGAAGCCTTACTACCTGTGACGACCGTGAGCCTTCTACCTGTTGACGACCGTGAAGCCTACTACCTGTTGACGACGTGAAAGCCTATACTGTTGACGACCGTGAAGCCTACTACTGTTGAAGACCGTGATGCCTACTACCTGTTGGACGACCGGTGAAACCTACTACCTGTTGACGAACCGTTATGCCTACTACCTGTTTGACGACGTGAAGCCTCTACCTGTTGACGACCATGAAGCTACTACCTGTGACGCCGTGATGCCTACTACCTGTTGACCGAACGTGAAGCCTACTCCTGTTGACCGAGTGAAGCCTACTACCTGTTGAAGACCGTGACGCCTACTACAGTTGAAGACCGTGAAGCCTCTACTAACTGTTGCGACGTGAAGCCTAAGACATGTTGACGACCGTGAAGCCTACTAACCTGTTTGACGACCGTGAAGCCTACTACTGTTGACGACCGTGATGCCTTCTTACCAGTGGGACGTGATTGACTATACATGTTGACGACGTGATGCCTACTACGCGTGGACGGACGTGAGGCCTACTACCTGTTGACGACCGTGAAGCCTACTACCTGATTGACCGTGATGCCTACTACATGTTGACACGACAGTGATTGCCTACTACCCGTTGACGACCGTTGAAGCCATACTACCCGTTGCCGACGTGATGCCTACTACCGTTGACGACGTGAAGCCTACTACCTGTTGACCGTGAAGCTACTACTGTTGACGACCGTGAGGCCTATACCTGTTGTACGACCCGTTGAAGCCTATACCTGTTGACGACCGTGATGCCTACTAACCTACGTTGACGACCGTGAAGCCTAATACTGTTGACGACCGTTGAAGACTACTAACCGTTGACGACGGGAAGCCTTACTACCCGTTGGACGCCGTTGATGAAGCCTACTACCTGTTGACGACCGTGCAAGCCCACTACCCGTTGGACGACCGTGAAGCTACTACCCGTTGACGACCGTGAAGCCTACTTAACCGTTGACGACCGTGATGCCTAATACCTGTTGACTACCGTGAAGCACACTACCCGTTTGACAGACCGTGATGCCTACTACCCGTTGCGACCGTGAAGCCTACTTCCTGTTGACGACCGTGAAGCCTACTACCTGTTGACGACCGTGATGCCTACTACCTGTTGACGACCGTGAAGCCCACTACCCGTTGACGACCGTGAAGCCTACTACCCGTTGACGACCGTGAAGCCTACTACCTGTTGACGGACGTGATGCCTAACTACCGTTGACGACCGTGGAAGCCTAACTACCTGTTGACGACCCGTTGAAGCCTACTACCTGTTGACGACCGTGAAGCCTACTACCCGTTGACGACCGTGAAGCCTACTAACATTGGTTGACGACAGTGAAGCTACTACCTGTGCTGAAGACCGTGAAGCCTACTACTGTTTGACGGACCGTGAGCTACATAACTGTTGAGACCGTGAAAGCCTACTTCCCCTGTTGACGCCGTGATGCCTACTACCTGTTGACGACCGTGAAGCTACTTACCTGTTGACGACCGTGATGCCTACTACTGTTGGACGACCGTGAGCCTACTCTACCTGTTTGAGACATGAAAGCCTACTACCTGTTGACGACGTGATTGCCTACTACCTTGTGGACGACCGTCGAAGCCGCTACTACCTGTTGACGACGTGATGCCTACTACACCTGTTGACGACCGTGAAGCCTACTACCTGTTGACGACCGTGAAAGCCTACTACCTGTTGCGACGTGAAGCCTCTACCTGTTGACGACCGTGAAGCCTAACTACCTGTTGACGACGTGAAGCCTATATGTTGACGAACGTGATGCCTACTACCTGTGACGAGTGTGCCCTGCTACCTGTTGACGGACCGTGATGCCTACTACCTGTTGACGACCCGTGAACGCCTTCTACCTGTTGTCGACACCGTGAAGATACTACTGTTGACGTGATGCCTACTAACCCTGTTGACGACCGTGATGCCTACTTACCCGTTGACGACCGTGAAGCCTACTAACGTTGACGACTGTGACAGCCTACTACCCGTTGACACGACCGTGAAGCCTACTAACCTGTTGACGTGAAGCCTACTACCTGTTGACAGACCGTGAAGCCTACTTACCTGTGACGACCGTGAGCCTACTACCTAGTTGACGACAGTGAAGCTACTACCTGTTGACGACCGTGGAAGCCTACTACGATGACGACCGTGAAGCCTACTACGTTGGACGGTACCGTGAAAGCCTACTACCTGTTGACGACAGTGAAGCCTACTACCTGTTGACGACCGTGAAGCCTACTACCTGTGTTACGACGTGAAGCCCTACTACTCGTTTGACGACCGTGAAGCTACTACCTGTTGAGACCGTTTGAAGCCTACTACCTAGTTGACGACCGTGGAAAGCCTACTACCTGTTGACGACCGTGAAGCATACTACCTGTTGACGTGTAGCATACTACCTGTTGCGACCGTGAAGCCCTAACTACCTGTTGACGACGTGAGGTGCCTTACTACCTGTTGACGACCGTGATGCCTACTACTGTTGACGACCGTGAAGCCATACTACCTGTTGACGACCGTGTAAGCCTACTACCTGTTGACGACCAGTGACGCCTACTACACTTTTGACTCGTCCGTTGAAGCCTACTTAACTGTTGACGACGTTGAGCCTACTACCTGCTGCGACCGGTGAAGACTAATACCTGTTGACGACCGTGAAGCCTAATACTGTTGACGACGTGGAAGCCTACTACCTGTTGACGACCGTGAAGCCCTACTACCTGTTGCCGGACGTGAGCCTAATACATGTTGACGACCGTGTGACCTACTACTGTTGACGTTCGTGTGCCTTACTACCTGTTGACGACCGTGTGAAGGCCTAATTACCGTTGACGGCCGTGATGCCTATACCGGTGACGACCGTGTTGCCTAATACCTGTTGACGACCGTTGATGCCTACTACTGTGACGACCGTGAAGCCTACTACCTGTTGACGACCGTTGTGATGGCCTACTACTGTTGACGGACCGTGAGCCTACTACTGTTGACGACCGTGAATGCTACTACCCGTTGACGGACCGTGAAGCCTACTACCGTTGTCGACCGTGAAGGCCTACTTACCTGTTGACGACCGTGAAGCCTACTACCCGTTGTAGACCGTCGAAGCCGACTACCCGTTGACGACGTGAAGCTACTACCTGTTGAACGACCGTGATGCCACTACTGGTGACGACCATGATACCAACTATACTGTTGACGACCCGTGATACCAATACCTGTTGGACGACCGAGATACCCCACTACTGTTGACGACCGAGATACCCATACATGTTGACGTCGAGATACCCACTACCTGTTGACGACGAGATACCCTCTACCTGTTGAGAACTGTAACCACTACCTGTTGACGACGAGATACCCACTACTGTTGACGACTCCGAGATTACCCACTAACTGGTTGACGTCCGAGGTACCACTACCTAGTTGACGACCGAGATACCACATAACCTTGTTGACGACCATGATACCTACTACCTGTTGACGACCATGATGCCTACTACCTGTTGACGACCATGATGCCTACTACCTGTTGACGACCATGATGCCTACTACCCGTTGACGACCGTGATGCCTACTACCTGTTGACGACCGTGATGCCACTACCTGTTGACGACCATGATGCCCACTACCTGTTGACGACCGAGATACCCACTACCTGTTGACGACCGAGATACCCACTACCTGTTGACGACCGAGATACCCACTACCTGTTGACGACCGAGATACCCACTACCTGTTGACGACCGAGATACCCACTACCTGTTGACGAACGAGATACCCACTACCTGTTGACGAACGAGATACCCACTACCTGTTCATGTTCATCACTCCATTTGGTTCAAGATAAATAAAAACAATAATGAAAAACGAACAGGAAAAAAAATAAATGTAAATTAAATTGAGAAAACTTCTTCACAAAAATATGAAGCAACAAATGCTACTAAATTCTTAAATGATTACTAAAATATTTTAAGATCAGAAACAATCAGTAGACGCATTCTTTCTCAGTCAGGAATGTTTCCTTGATCTTCGTAACTCTACCATAGCCGCTGTAACACACCTCTCACCTCACCTCTCACTTCACTTCTCATTTCACTTCTCACTTCACTTCTCATTTCACTTCTCACTTCACTTCTCATTTCACTTCTCACTTCACTTCTCATTTCACTTCTCACTTCACTTCCAGCACTTCATGTCTTTCATATTTCTTCATGTATTAGTCTGAATAAATTTGCAATTAGTAAAGTTATTTTTTCCAATCCTTTTAATGTTACAATGTAAGGAAGGATCTTCAACCTGAGTCCTGGAAGGAAGGAGATATAACATGAGTCATGGTAAGAAGGATCTTCAATCTGAGTCCTGGAAGGAAGGAGCTATAACATGAGTCATGGTAAGAAGGATCTTCAATCTGAGTCCAGGAAGGAAGGAGATGTAACATGAGTCATGGTAAGAAGGATCTTCAATCTGAGTCCTGGAAGGAAGGAGCTATAACATGAGTCATGGTAAGAAGGATCTTCAATCTGAGTCCTGGAAGGAAGGAGCTATAACATGAGTCATGGTAAGAAGGATCTTCAATCTGAGTCCAGGAAGGAAGGAGATGTAACATGAGTCATGGTAAGAAGGATCTTCAATCTGAGTCCTGGAAGGAAGGAGCTATAACATGAGTCATGGTAAGAAGGATCTTCAACCTGAGTCCTGGAAGGAAGGAGATATAACATGAGTCATGGTAAGAAGGATCTTCAATCTGAGTCCAGGAAGGAAGGAGATATAACATGAGTCATGGTAAGAAGGATCTTCAATCTGAGTCCTGGAAGGAAGGAGATATAACATGAGTCATGGTAAGAAGGATCTTCAATCTGAGTCCAGGAAGGAAGGAGATATAACATGAGTCATGGTAAGAAGGATCTTCAATCTGAGTCCTGGAAGGAAGGAGATATAACATGAGTCATGGTAAGAAGGATCTTCAATCTGAGTCCTGGAAGGAAGGAGATGTAACATGAGTCATGGTAAGAAGGATCTTCAATCTGAGTCCTGGAAGGAAGGAGATATAACATGAGTCATGGTAAGGATCTTCAACCTGAGTCCTGGAAGGAAGGAGCTTCAACCTGAGTCCTGGTAAGAAGGAGCTTCAACCTGAGTCCTGGAAGGAAGGAGATGTAACATGAGTCATGGTAAGAAGGATCTTCAATCTGAGTCCTGGAAGGAAGGAGATATAACATGAGTCATGGTAAGAAGGATCTTCAACCTGAATCATGGAAGGAAGGAGATATAACATGAGTCATGGTAAGGATCTTCAACCTGAGTCCTGGAAGGAAGGAGCTTCAACCTGAGTCCTGGTAAGAAGGAGCTTCAACCTGAGTCCTGGAAGGAAGGAGCTTCAACCTGAGTCCTGGAAGGAAGGATCTTCAACCTGAGTCCTGGTAAGAAGGAGCTTCAACCTGAGTCCTGGAAGGAAGGAGCTTCAACCTGAGTCCTGGTAAGAAGGAGAGAAAGGAAGATATTTGGAGAAGGTTGGAAAGAGGCTGAGAAAGTGTGAGAGAAGATAGATTCTCCTAAGAGATAACATTTGAAAAGCAACAGTAACCCCAGGTCTTACAGGTCTTCATTCCATGTCTTCTGACATGAAGTCTTGCAAGCTTACATAGCTGCTAAATACCTATTAATGTACTTAATGATGTCCTTTATCACCCTACTTATGTCTCCTGGATCAACCTGTTCTATCACCCGGTGTAGGAACACCATCCTGTGTGATAGAAAATAATGAGGAAACATTGGTAGCTCTTCTTCATATTACGTAACTGTCATAGAACACAGCAGCAGCACACAGCTTATGTATCCAGTATTGTAACAATAAAATGCGTAGCATATACCTGTGTGTCCTCTCAGCAGTCATCGCTACACTGGCATGTCCCTCTCACTTCACTCTATAATAATAATAATAATAATAATAATAATAATAATAATAATAATAATAATAATAATAATAATAATAATATCTTTATTTCCACAAGTACATGTACAAGGTATACAGACCATAGCTGACATCAATGACAAACTAGTATATAGAAAACCCCTTATTATGCAGAGCATTTCTGACAAATTATTTTAGTTTTGTCGCAGGATGCGACCCTCACCAGTCCACTAACACCCAGGTACTAATTTTACTGATGGGGAACATAGACAACCGGCGTAAAGAAACACTCCCAATGTTTCTACCCAGGCTGGGAATCGAACCAGGACCCTCGCCGTGTGAAGCGAGAGCTTTAGCCACCAGGTTACGGGGCACCGTGGCATGGTGGCCACTGATTTTTCGGCAATCAGATCTTAGGAAGGTAGCTGCTGGCCTTTTGCCAGGCTGGAGTTGCCATGATTCACATAATTACAATTACCAACAGAACAATGTGTGTTTCCAAGCAGAGTTAAGCGCTAAGAAAATGATGTAAAATATAAAATAAAAAATAAAAAAACATGAAAACAAGCTAGCAAGAAGAAATAGCAGCCAGCATTTATCTTCCTCGAGTACTGCTAATGTTGCGTGTAATAAGGATATGTCCATAAAATTAGGAAGAAGTGTAAATATCTGAACAATAAAAGACATATCTTGGTAGTGAGGTAATTGTCTATAGCGATCAGTTATACGAAGACAAGTGAGAGAGGATTAACTGTGGCTCGACATCTCAAGACAGTACCCGAAGCCTCATCGCTGCCAGACACCTCTGCAGGATGCAAGTGCCCCTATTTTGTGGATACTAGAGTGTTGAGTTTCAAGTAATTGACCTTCCATAAGCCGGAAGCGAAGGGTCCACTCAACCCTGCTTGAGCTAGGAATACAGTTACTGTAAAGCAGATTCTAATAAAAAATTAACTCCGTGGTCCTTCAGATCTGCTCAAGGCACATTCCATTAAGAAAAAGAAAGAGAAGATGTAAACTAGAAAGAGAGAGATGCTCCATATACAGACGAAGGCGAGGAATCACAGAGCTGCTGAGAGGGTCCAATATATCTGAAATACAAGAGCGGCACTGGTCAATGAAATAGCAAATATCGAACTTAAACTGAAGGAATCTTACAGGAAACAAGAATCGCAGGAAGAACTAGAAACAATAAAGGAAATTGAAAAACAAACAAAATACTTCTTCTCTTATACAAAATCTAAGGAAAAAAAACATTCAGTATTGAGCCCTTGTTTAGGCGAGATGGGACATACACAGATGACAGCAAAGAAATGCGACTCTGTTCAGTGAGCGGTTACCCAGACTAAGGGTAGACAATCCAAATGAATTCTTTATGACCGAGACCCAAAATATGGTTATCTCAAAAATCTCTGATATTACCCTAACACCACAAGACTTTGAAATGACAACAAATGACATGCCCATGAACTCTGAGCCAAGGAACACATGGAACTCCGTGTTCATCAAGAGCTGCAAGAAGCTCCTGTTGCATTCCTTCAGAATTTTATAGAGAGGGAACATGGACACAGGCGTCATCCCACATTCCCTAAAAAAACAGGCATAGCCACACTCCACAAAGGGGGCTGTAAAGCAATTGCAAAGAACTACAGACCGATAGCACTAACAGCCCATATCATAAAAATCTTTAAAAGGGTCCTAAGAAGCAAGATCGCCAACCACCTAGAAGCCCATCACTTAACCCAGGGCAACACGGTCCTGCATGCTATAGAGAATAAACAAAATGCAGACACATAGATTTTGAAAATCCTTCGACAAGTGTGACCACGGTGTAATAACACAAAAATGTGATAAAGAAATAACAGGAAAAGTTGGTAGATGGATCTATAACTTCCTGGCAAATAGAACACAGAGTAATAGTAAACAGAGTAAAGTCTGAGGCAGCTACTGTGAAAGACTCCGTTCCATAAGACACAGTACCTGCTCCAATCCTATTCCTCATCCTCATATCTGACATAGACAGAGATGTAAGCCATAGCTCTGTGTCCTCCTTTGTAGATGACACCCGAATTGCAAGACTCCAAGCGGACATCAGCTAAATCTTCAAGTGGGCCACTCTGTATAAAATGAAGTTTGCTGAGGTCAGTACACTGAGGTCAGTGGTCAGGGTACGCTGAGGTCAGTGGTTAGTATGCTGCGGTCAGTGGTCACATGTAGTCATACCTGTCCTAAGCTCTCTGGGAGTTAGAGTGGGGTGTTACCAAGAACCATGGCTTGTAGTAGTGTTTTAGAATCTCTGGTTCAGGTGTTGAAAAAGGAGGTTGTACTTCTTCAGGAGAAAAATAGGAGGCTGAAGCTTCGCCTACAGGAGTTTGAAAGTGAGTGTGAGAAAGATTTAGCTGGTAAGGAGGAAATGGTCACCAGCAGTGAGAGTGGCAGCTGCTTTAAGTTGTAACTGGCTGACAATTCAGGAAGAAGGAAGATAAGGAGAGTTAACAGAGAAGATTTGAAGGTAGGAAATTGATTCTCTGTTCTGCATTACGAGTGTACTTCAGTGGTTAGTGACGTTGAAGGTACCACTGATTCCCCTGCTAATCACGGTAAGAATATTTTAATTATGGGATATTCTCAGGTAAGATATATGGACCATGTTTTTTTTGTAACAGAGATAGAAAGGTCAGACAGAAGGTGTGCTTCCCAGGAGCTGATGTTGGTGACATAGTCAGCAGGTTGGATAATGTTATGTCAGGTAATGGGAACAAGCCCATTATCTGACTTAGTGATGGGGGTAATGACATTGGGAAGGGCTGGAGACAGGATCTCCTTGATAAGTACAGGTCAGCCATAGAAGTTGTTAGGTCTAAGAGAGGGATCCCAGTCATATGTAGCATCTTGCCTAGAAAGGGAGTGGGCAATGAATGGATGTCTAGGACAATTGGTATAAATTGCTGGCTAGACAGGTACTGCAAGGAACTTGCAATCCCATTCATTGATAACTGGGACCTATTCTTTGGCAAACGTGATATGTATGCAAGGGATGGGGTTCATCTCTCTGGGGATGGAGTGGTTGCATTAGCCAATTCGATTGAGGGGGTAATTGATGACAATAATAATAATAATAATAATAATAATAATAATAATAATAATAATAATAGTAATAATAATAACAAGACTACTAGTACTACTACTACTACGACTACTACTACTACTACTACTACTACTACTACTAATAATAATAATAATAATAATAATAACAATAATAATAATAATATAAATAATAATGGTGGTGGGTAAAGCTCTC